AAAGGGCGGGAGGACCTCTGGTCGAGTGGTACATTTTCCCCCTGAAAAATTGTGGAAGTGTTTTCAAAAAAGGAGTCCGAAATGATCTGTCATACAACATGTATTCAATTTGTATTTTTAATATTTCTATTTATGTTTTATTTATATTTTATCTAATTTTATTATTTATATTTTATTTATATATTTTGTGCTCACCTAAACTACCTGTGGCAGAACAGGTAGTTACAGTACAAAACAGCATTAATACTGTAGGAGTTTTGTTTACATCGGCAGCGTGGAACATAAAACTTACATACACGCTGCAGTCTCTTCTTTCAGATGGTTCAAACTTCCAAACAGCATTTTTGTTTGTTTTTTTAAGGTATAAATTTTAATACAACCTTCCAATGGGGGCAACTTGTCAGATGTAGACTCTGGAAATGTGCTATACAAATACAAAGTAAATAAAAACGTGTTAAATATAAAAACAAAGAGTGACACTACCTACCTACAGTCTCTTTCTAACTTGTATTAGTCTTAATTTATTGTTGCCTCTTTTTATAAATATGGATAACTCTCCTGGCTCAGAACAGGCAGGGAATGGCTTGTGATTAAGTATTCAGCTCAGGTCTGATCCTGCAAAGCTAACAGGGAGCTGAGGAAGCTTGTCTTGATATTGACACAGCCTTCCAGCCCACCAACGTAGCTAAAGGATTATTTTTGTGCAGTCTGCTTCCTCTTTGGCAGAGATCTTTGTAGCATATTAGTCTATTCGGATGAGTTAGTGGTTGCTATTTTGTTATCAGTCACTATCCTATTCCTCTATTTTTAATTCATCTGTCTCCACAATTGCTCGAGTGGCAGCAGGTGGAGGCTGACACAAGTCAGTTTCCACTGCATTGGCTGGAAGTTGGAAGGAATCCATCCCACTCGTTCTCATTCGTTCTCCTTTTCTCCTTGTGTGCAGCCATCCCTGTAGCATTCATAGCAGGGTCCCACCTCATAACTAACATAGATCCTGGCATGCCAGAATCCTTTATGAATAAGCATTTCAAACTTCAACCTGTAAAATTGTCATACCAAGGGTAAGTTACCACAGAAAAAAATGTGTCCTGCTCTCTCAGCACAGAAACTGCTGTATGAAGGACTGCCCACACACTACACAAGTCTCTCTGCTTGACCAATGCTGAACAGCTTTCAGATTTTCTGGCAGTAATAATCTCTATTCACCACCATTAATTCAAGCCATACACATACTCTTCTTATGCCGCTACCACCAGTACTACATTTTATGGCTCTGTGCACATCTTTCAATTACAGGTATTTGTGCCCAGAACTCAACACTATGTAATTTACATAACAACCCACAGACTATGTGGAAGTCCCTCTCAGAAAAATCTTGAAACGGTATACACAAAATGGTCAGAGTTGGAAGGGACCTCTGGAGATCATCTAGTCCAACCCCCCTGCCCGAACAGGGTCCCTTACAGCAGGTTGCACAGGACGGCGTCCAGGCGGGTTTTGAATGTCTCCAGAGTGGGAGACTCCACCACCTCTCTGGGCAGCCTGTGCCAGTGCTCTGCCACCTTCAAAGTAACGAAGTTCCTCCTCATGTTTAGATGGAACTTCCCGTATTCAAATTTGTGCCCGTTACCTCTTGTTCTATCACTGGGCACTACTGAAAAAAACCCACCCTGTTCTCATTTACCTGGCACCCTCCCTTTAAGGATTTATAAGTATTGATAAAATCCCCCCTCAGTCTTCTTTTCTCCAGACTAAAAATATGCAAGTCCCTCAGCCTTTACTCATAAGGAAGATGCTCCAGTCCCCTAATGGACCCTCTCCAGCAGTTCCCTGTCCTTCTTGAATTGAGGAGCCCAGAACTGGACACAATACTCTAGATGTGGCCTCACAAGTGCAGAGTAGAGGGAGAGGGTGACCTCTCTTGACCTGCTGGCCACACTCTTCCTGATGCACCCCAGGAAGCCATTGGCCTTCTTGGCTAGCAGGGCACATTGCCTGGCTCATGGTCATCCTGTTTTCTACCAGGACTCCCAGGTCACTTTCCACAGAGCTGCTTTCCAGCAGGTCAGCCCCTAACCTGTATTGATGTGTGGGGTTATTCCTCCCCAAATGCAGTATCCTACATTTGCCTTTGTAACTTGCTGATGGTACACTCTATCCCTTCATCCAGGTCATTGATGAATACATTGAACAGGACTGGACCCAGTACTGACCCCTGAGGGACACCACTCGTTACCGACCTCCAACTAGATTCTGCACCCAACTTATTAATGCAGATACAAAAGGTTTACCCGTATTTAAATATATGGTGTGGGCAAAATTAATGGTGTACAATTAATTTGTAAAGTTATAAACATTTTGGCTTAGACTAGGGAGACTGCAAAGAACCACACCAGTTTGGGATACCTTCCTTTGTTCCTGACTAGCAACCAAAAGGGTGTTTAATATGTCTGTTGGAGAACAGGATGTTTCTTGGATAATAAAGCCTTAATCTTACAGTCCAGTATCTCATAGTCAAAATCAGACAGCAAAAGTACAGTGATAAATATGAAATACTTCGTCAGATGCCCTGACAAACTTTTTCTCTTGGCTAAGAAAAGTTAGTCCCATTTCAGTTAACTGTGATCACGGTCCCTTATTAGAAAAGAGCATCACAATTAACTCTTTTTCGATTTCAGAGATACCAAGGTCATAGAAATGTAACTGAGGCTCTGTTTAATACAATTGATCCCTATGGTTCTGAAGGCTCACTAGAGTCACAGTATGTCATGCTGTGTCACCCCATTCATGCTATACAGTCTATAAGTAGAGCCCTACAGCCTCATAACTGAAAAAAAAATAGTTTTTTTTCAGCATTCAAACATCTAAGACAGAGGCATTTCAGTAGCTGTAGTTTTTTAAAAAAACCTTCATTCTAAACAAAGTTGTTCTCTAAGTAGTCTGATAGGCAAAAGTTCCACAAAATAAAAATAAGTCATGCTATCTAATTTCCAAAAAAGCACTCATTATAATATTTTTGTAGTTCCACAGGTGTATAATTGCTTCAAAGGAAACAAGAATAATTTTGCACCATACCTTCTTTACTACACCTCTTGCCAACACTGCATGTAAATACACAACAGTCTATCACAGTTGGAGAGTAATGGGTTTTGTCATGATACACAATGAGCAAAATGCACCACACATTTTGTTTCAGTTCAATTTTATTCTCACTAAATCTTTTTGTTTGCAAAACCAAAGATTTTATCCAGATTGTGCCCTGGACAAACAGGCCTATGCCTCTATCAGGGAACTAATATTTGATACAGTGGAAGAGAAAACTAAACAAGGGTTAAAAACAAGATTGTAGTTAAAATGTTGCTACTAGCATTGTAAATCTAGGTAGATTTGAACTGAAAAAAAGTTTTAAGACCCAAAATGTAAAATTATAAGGCTGCAAGTGAGGGAAAATGTCACATTACAGATGTACACTAAATATGTTTCTGTACAAAAGGATTCTTTTCCTTAATTTATTAAGAAAGAAAGTATTCTTAAAGAAAGTACATGTCAACTTAACCTCCCAAAATGTCTTTTCAGTGGTAATTTCCCAACATCTTGGATAAAAGCAATCTGAGCTGAGAAAAAAAAATCATGAGCATCGTATTAGGTAAATCACTATGCACATAGAATTAATTACACTGGGAAATACATAGTTCATATGTTTAGTTAAGTGGTCCTGTATGTATTTGCATTATTTTGGATACCAAACCAGTTTATATATATTTGAAGTGTTTACCACAGTACCATAACATACGTACAGATTGACTCCACAGAATAATAAATCCCTACTGTCTGTCAACTGTGTATTTATTATGTAGAGTTATTATTATATGGCCTTCAAAATTAATTTGTTCAGATGATAAAGCCTTAGTTAAGACATAAAGCCTTTTATTAGAAGTAATTAACATAGCATAGGTG